AAGAAGTAGTTTAGTTAGTTTCCAAGAAAGATTACATTAAAGTTTGTTTCATCAAAATGCTTTAAATAATGTTTATTTATTGGAATAAAACATTTACTTTTCAATATCTAAATATAATATATAATTCTTAAATAATATATAATTAATGTAAAGAAAACCTGTATAATTGCTTTAAGAAATGTATATAATTGTACATTTTAATTTGTTTTTTATTTTTTACTTTTTTTAAAGCAGATATGTATTTTTCTTACATCAAATAATTTATCTCATTATTCTGTGCTTAAAAATATTAAAATATTAAGTTTCAATATAAGTTTCTTTTCTTTAATATTTTATTACTATAATTTATAAAAATACGATCATTGAATTCATCAATAATCAATATAAATTGCTTAGAATAAAAGTAAAATTAAATGAATTAATATTAAATAAATTATTAAAAATTATTTAAATAAATTAATTCTTGATTAAATAATTTATAATATATGACATAATTCATATTTTCAACAAATATATATTTAGTTATGTTCAAAGTACTTTATTGAGATGAAAGCTAATCTAGTATATCATGTTAATTTATATTCTTTTTTATTTTTATTTATTTTAGAAAATAAAATTGATGACATAGGTTTATTGCAACTGTTAACAAATGAAGAACTCCAAGAATTAATTCCTTGCATGGGAGACAGAAAAAAGATAGAAATACAATTATCACAAAAACCTATTCAACCATTTCAACCTGTGATATTGTCACCCGAAGATTTAGTGGTATGCATTATATATTTGTAATATTTTTTCTAGGATACTATTCTTTAGGATTTTAGGATACTATTATCTAATTTAACTATTCTAAATTAATTTTTTAAAACTATTTTGTTATATATTTTTATATATTTATATATATTTTTATATATTTAGTTATATATTTTTATTTATTCCAATATAGACCTTTTTAACTGTAAAAGTAACTTGTTATTATGTCATACTTGTTTAATATTTTTATTATGTTGCTATTTTTAAAAGTAATTCCTTTTTTAAATACTTATTTTATAATGTTGTTTTCAGATGTCTTTAAATACTGAAATATTAGATTTAATAGAAACAGAACAACCGCTTAAAAAAAAGCCAAAAGTTTCATTGTCTGATGTTGATACAATTTCAACATTATCAAATGTTTCATTGGGGTCTGAATCTGATATACCTTCGACATCATCATCGAATGCTTCATTGATTAAAATGATTGAAGTTTCAAATACTAACAACAAAGACATGAATAATATGATTAATAATGTACTAAATACATACGAAGTTGTAAATTTTAATTTAAAAGATCTATTGAAAAGTCATATTATAGGAAGGGCTATTCTATTAAAGTTTGAAAAAACAAAATCAATTGATAATAAAGATCGCAATAATTTGTGTGACATTATCATATGTCATTTCTTAAATGAAAATAAACGTCTAAATAATTCAACAGTAGGCATTTTGGCTGACAAAATAGTTGAAATTTTTCATGAAAAAAGGAGATCTACGTATTACGTTAGTCCTATTGGAAAAAGTCAATCACGCCACAACAAACCGGAAGTAGCCAGAGGAAAATTAATAGATAAATATAGAAACAAGCTTACCATGCTACGAAAAACTTTGGCAAGTTGTGAAACCTTTACAGTTGAGGAAAAAGAAAGTAAATATGACACATATTATATTAACACTTTGCAGATGAGATACACATTTTTATAATAGTAAAATCCTTTTTTCTTCAAAAGTTTATTAGTATTTACTATAAAATGTAAAAATTATAATGATTGTTTAAAAAGTATTTTTATTTGTACAGTTTGATATTCATATAGATTTGCTTGTTGAAAACCTTCCAAAATATCAAAGTATTAGTTTTTTTTTGGCGAAATTAGCTGCTTTCAAATTGTAAGATACTATTTATGTGTTTACTATAATAACATTTTGTCATTATTAATTTTAGATATATCAAGAGAAATGCAGGACAGTCAAGTATGGCTTAAGCACAATATTGAACCCAAAGATGAAGTTATTCGTCGTTGGAAACTATCTTTTCCAATTAGAAAAATAGGACGATTATCATTAAATGAATATTTAGAAGAATGGCCTATCTTAAGAACACAAGCAGCAATTGATTTAGTAAGTCATTATCGTGTAATCAATTTTTATTGATTTTTGATGAGTTTTTGGTTGATCAAATTTTTATAAAAAGTTGTTCCTTAAGAAATATGATAAATGTACTTATAATTTCTTTTTTTGTTTAAATTTTCTTTAGCACAGCACATATAAATGCTTTTTACAAAAGTTTGCAAGAATATTCTGTAAAAAAATATATGTATCCGCATTTAGAAAATTCTCTACTCTCTTCTCTCATCTTCTGGTTTTTTTTTTCAGATTGACTGCGATTTTAAAGAAAGATTTAACTTATAAGCATCCTTTGATATATGCCAAAAATTTGAGGATTTCTTTACTTACATTTATAATAAACGTAAGGCATTACTTAAGCCATCCGATGAAAGTTTATTTAATTTGCTTGAAGATCAGATAACAACAGGTAAGAATCAATATGGTATCATTAACTTTGTTAAATGTAAAGTAATTGACATACTATTAATAATTACTAATTAAAAGTTAAAATTGAATTATTTTGATCCATATAATACAATTAATTAAAAAACAATAACTTTTATTTTGTAACACATAATTTTTGTTTACTGATTTAAAACGAAATTGTACATAGAAATATTTACAGCACTTATTATTTTAAATGTAGCATTAACTTTTTTGGCATAATATGATTTTCAAGTGATGATTTTTTAAGTTAAAAGTTTTATCTATAAATTGTTTGTATTATAAGCATATGTAATGTTTTTGAACATAATTAAAATTCAAATAATGTCATAACTACTTTAAGTTGCTTTAAAATAGGATTATTAATAATGTATAATATTGCTAATACAAATTAAATGTTTTTACAATTACAGATTCCAAAAACGTAATACGTTCGTATTTGTTATCTTCTTTGGTACCTCCTCGTGGTAGGGCAAAGACAGGCAAGGTCTACTGGAAACCATCTGTATCCGAAGCAAGAGATGGCCTTTTCTTGCAAGTAAAAATCCCAGGTGATATTGAGTCAGCAAAACAAGAAAAGATTGATTTTATGTATAAAAAGGGTTTAACAATTCAGCCGTACATAATAGTAGTTGGTCCCAATTTATGTAATATTCATGCTTTCTACGTTATTATTGATAGCAAAACTTATGAAACAAAGACATTTCTTGATGCGTTAAAATTTTGTTTTGAAGCATATTTTGTTTTGGACTTAAAATACACACCAGAGAGCCAGCATCTCTGGTTTCTTTTACAGTGGGAAGTGTTTAATATTATTTCTGCAAATGACATAAACATTCCTTTTATGAACGATATATTACGGTTTAAAACATAGATATTTAAAACATTGTATGAATAACCACTGAGCTATTTTGGTTTATTAAATTTTGCACACACACGTACATATACATATATACACACATATAAACACACACACACACACACACACACACATATATTTAAATATTATATATATATATATATATATATATATATATATATATATATGCATACACACACAAAAGTATTAATATTGAAACAGATTATTTACAATGGAATGTAACAATATCATTTGTTTTAAATGTTCCAAGACATTTAGAGGTATTGATTCTTTAATTCAACATATAAAACATTTGCATCCGTTTATACAAAGCTTTATTTGTAAGCAAGACAATTGTCACCGTACTTTTCCTCTTTTAAATGGTTTAAAAAAGCACTTAATTAAGAATCATTCAAAATATGAAACGCTTCAACAACTAAATACAGACCAAATTGAAGAATCTAATTCTTTCTGTTCTTCAGAATATCAGAATACTCAAAATTCGTTTATTGACAAACCTCATTTTTCTAAATATTGTAATAATGAACCATCCGATCTTTTTCAAACTGTTCGGAATGCTATTGTTTGTTTGACGTCAAAAATGTACAGTAATTCTTCTTTACCCCGAAACATTGTCCAAATAGTAATAGAAGATGTAAAGGAATTATTTCATTCTGTAATTGCCTGTATAGACCCTATATTAAACAAAGAAAATGTGAATGAATATAACAAAGTTTGTACTCTTTTTAAGGAAATTAATAATACATTTGAAATGTTGGGAACCGAACATAAAAGATTAAAATTTCTGGAAGACAATAGATGTTATATTAAACCAAATGCTTTTTTTATAGGAGAAAGATCAAGTCTTGGCAAAATAAATGAATCTTCTGAAGCAAATATGGTTATTCAAAAATCTGAAGGACAAATAATAGAATTGCATAAAATCTTAAAAGAATTTCTAGAATTACCAAACGTATTTAATGAAATTGTTTCCTATATGCAAAACGAAGAATCTCTATGTGATGAGAATGTGCGTACTTCTATTTTCCAAGGAAACTTATGGAAAAAAGTAAAACTTAAATTTCCAAATAAAATAATAATTCCTTTATATCTTTTTTATGATGATTTTGAACCTAACAATCCTTTAGGCTCAAAATCTGGTATATATAAAGTAAATGCAGTTTATGTTTCCATTGCTTCTGTACCTATTCAATATGCTTCTTTATTAGAAAATATCTTTTTAACTCAGCTTTGTTTTACGGGCGATCGAGAGCAGTATGGTAATAAGAATGTATTTTATAAAATCATTCAAAAATTGAAATACTTAGAAACAGAAGGTATCAGAATACAAATATCTTCCACAAAAAGTGTTCAAGTATATTTTACGTTGCTATTAATTTTGGGAAATAATTTAGGTTTAAATTCTATTTTAGATTTCAATGAAAGTTTCCAATCAAATTATTTCTGTCGTTTTTGTAAGACTCATAAAGACGAAACAAAACATCAATTAAAAGAAAATGAAGAAAATTTACGTAACATTACAAATTACAATAACGATTGCTTATCTTTTTCTTTTGGTATTAAAGAAGTATGTATTTGGCATGAATTGCTAAATTTTCATGTTACAAAAAACTTATCTTGTGATTTAATGCATGATGTTCTGGAGGGAGTTCTAAGATATGATATGGCTCAAATAATTTCTTGTCTTATTACAAAAAAGTACTTTTCTCTTGAACAATTAAATGAAAGAATAAAATATTTTAAATTTACTGATTCAGATATAGGTAACCCAATCCCTTTCATTATTTCTGAACATTTGAAAAAAAAATATATAATAATGAGTGCATCTGAAATGTTAGCGTTGACTACTTATTTTTGTATCCTAGTTGGTGATCTAGTTCCATCACATGAGCCCGTGTGGGATTTTTACATACTTTTATATAAGATGTTAGATATACTTTTATCGAGAACAATTTCTAATTCTTCAATATTTTATTTAAAAACTTTAATTGAGGAACATCACCAAATGTACTGTAATTTATTTAAAGAAACGTTAAAACCAAAATTTCATTTACTTCTTCATTATCCTCGAATTACGACAATAATAGGTCCTGTTCGACATATTTGGGTTATGAGATATGAAGCATTCCATAAACAACTGAAAAGTACTTCTAAAATTGTAACTTCTCGTGTTAATTTACTTCGAACATTGTGTATTAAACAACAACTTTCTTTTTCTTATAGAATTTTAAGTAGAAAGGGTTTTTCTAATATCATAGTAACTCGACAATTTCTTGGTAATTTGCACAATGTAAAAGAAATGAAATTTATTTCTCTAATAAAGACATGTATGGATACTTTCTCTGAAAATGCAAGTGTTTTCGCCTCGATCACATTTAATAATATTAAATATAATGTAGGAAGCGTTTTACAGATTAATGATACTGAATTTGATTGCTTTTTGATTTTTGGTGTTGTTCAATATATTATTTTAGACGACAAATCTCTTACTTTTATTTTGTCAGTAGTTACAACTGTTTCATTTCAAAATCATTTGCAGGCTTATGAAATTATAATAAACCAAGATGCTCAATGGTTTTTACAAAAATGGGAACACTTACCAAATAAATTCCCTTATAATACTCATGTGATAGGTAATGGAAATAATTATATTGTTCCTTTACAGTAAATTGTAATAGAATAGATATTTGTTTTTTGTAACATTATAAGATAGTTACCGTTCGAATAATATATTTTTAAGCATAAAATATACGTCAGTAGATGTTGGGACTATTTTTCTCTGGAAATAGAGTCCGCACTGGCAAATTGTTTTTTAGCAATGTTTTCTGAGATCTCACACTCCGAAAATAAACCTGGATACTGTATTTTATGTTTTTTATTTACCATATAATCTCGTTCATTTATTTGTAAGTTGAGATCTCAGAAAATATTACCAAAAGACAATTTACAAAATGTTTAAAGTATATACATTTTTAGTTTATCGTATATTTTTGTTCATTTGCTTGTAAGTTCTGAGATCTCAGAAAACATTGCCAAAGACAATTTGCAAAATGCTTCAAGTATATGTATTTAGTTTACCATATGTTCTCATTTATTAATTTGTAAGTTGGAAGATCTTAGGAAACATTGGCGACTAACATTTTGCAAAATGTTTAAAGTATGTTTTTGATTTACCATATTCTCGTTCATTTATTTGTCAGTTGTGAGATCTCTAAAAACATTGTCCAATGCCATTTATTTATGTTATAATGTGTAAAAGTCTAAAAATTACCATTTATTGTAATTATGTTGAAATAACAAAAATGGCCACAGTTACTTTTATATCAACATATAATTTATATTTTAACTTGAAGATATTTAAATATCTTATACAATATTGAAAGTAGTTGAAAAACACTGAAAAATATTTTCGTATAATAAAATATTTATATTTTAATATATTTTGTCTCTTTATTTTGTCTTGTTTATATATTTTTTTACATTACTTTTTAAGAGCAACACTTTTCTAATAACAATATATTTGTTTTTCAATTTGTGCCATATCTATCAAACTGCATTAATGTTTTATTTGCAATTAAATTAATTAACACAGTAAGGCTGATGGCAGAGAACAAGAGGCTATTGTATACAACAGCCTGTTACAACTTACGTTTTTCTCTGCCTTACTTCCACTACAATAGATGTAAACGCCTAACGTCTTATTCTCTGCTATCAACCTTAGAAAGTATTTAAATAAAATAAGTTCTCAAATAAATCCCTGAAATTCTCTCTGTTACTGAATTAGATTATTTAATTATTTAATTAAAAGAACGAATTTTTTATTGAAATAATTAAATTATTTAATCAATATAATAAATTTATTTAGCAGTTGTAAGAGAGTTCCTTAGGGCCGATATCACAGTCTCCGATTAACGTAATCCTTCGATTAAACTCACTCTGTATCTCTTTCTGACTGTCCCCCTAGAAAGAGACGAAGAGTGAGTTTAATCGGAGGATCACGTTAATCGAAGACTGTGATATCGGCCCTTAATGCAACAAAAATACGATTTAAGTGAAATAGTACAATACTTTAACTGAAACAATAAAATTGTTTCATTCAACAAAATTATAATTTAAGTGAAATAGTACAATACTTTAACTGAAACAATAAAATTGTTTCATTCAACAAAATTATAATTTAAGTGAAATAGTATATTACTTTAGTCGAAATAATGAAATTATTTTATTCAACATAAATGTAATTTAAGTACAATAGTGCAATACTTTGGCCAAAATAATAAAATTGTTTAAGTTAAAAAAATATTCAACTCTTTTTGAGAGATGATTTATTTTAAGGTAAAGATACATTTTATTTGAAAAGTCAAACAAATGCAATGTGTAGTTTAAACACTGATTCGGTTGGACTATTCCAATGCATAAATTTCTTTAGATTTAAGAAAATTTATTAAATCTAAAGAAACATTTCTCTCTGTGTAGCTTTTGAATAAAAATAAATGTAAATAAAAAATGAATGTAAGTA